AGGCTTGCTAGAGATGTAGTCCCAGGAATCATTGACTCTAGCACGGCCGAAGCGCGCTTTTCCCCTCCAAGCCACTGGGTGGAGATGGGTGGATGGATGGATGGAAGACCTAGGCATTCGCTGCAAAGCCCCATGGTGGTGGCAGTACCCTACTACTGTTACCGTGTACCCAACAACCCTAGGCCCAGAAAATAAAATCGCCAAAGAAAAGGTGGCCTGATTCCCCATGATGGAAAGAAAGGGAAAAGGAAAACGTGAGACGCGCTTCATGGCGAAAGCTCACGACTCGGTAACTGGCTTGCTTACATCGCGTAACCCGTTTGTCGCCGGTCCGATGAGCACCTATCGTACCTACTGTACCTACCATGGTACCATTCAATGCGTTCAAATGCAATCCAATCCAACACCCACAAAAGAAAATCCCCAACACCCACAACCACAAAGCCATGCCTCTCGCTGATCTGGCAAGCCTGCATTGCATTGCCCGCGTTGCCCGCGTTGCCTCGGAACACTCGCGTCGTGTCGCCTTCCCCAAGCCAGCCTTGACCCAAGTCTGCTTTGCGCTCAGCCCCACCCCACCCCGGCTGCACTAATGCTGCTGCCGCCGATTCAGATAAAACGCCCCTGATCAGATGGAGATTGCCGAGATGGTGCTGTGCAAAGCCGCGGGTGGAGAGGGTGCGTACGTACGTATGGGTGTAGCGGTATGGATGGGAATGTACTCTATGGATGGGATGGCGGTGGATGATTGCGAGTGCGTAGGTAGGCTGCACACGAGCTGGATGTGTGTGTATCTGTCATGTGCGCATTGCTACTGTGGTTAGGCGTGGGAGGAGGGAGGGTTGGTGCCCAAGCGTGTTTGAGGCGTTGGCGTGTGGCTGGTGGTGAGGACGTGCGGCGGATGGGGGGATGGGGAGTGATGGGGCGTAGGAAGAGGGTGCTTGCTTTGTGGGTTGGAGGGAGGAGATGGGTAGATGGTAGGTATTGCATTCATGTGAAATGCATGTGGCTGGGTGGTTTGTCTACTGTATGTAGAGTATGTATACTGTATGTATCTCTGGTTGGTTACAGACAGTGGCTGAGAGGGTGCTTTTGCCAAGCGGGAGAGTGATGGTTCATACTCTAGTAGGAGAGTATAGTATCGTGTCTGTAGTATACTATACTACAGTGTACGTGGGTACTGGAGGATGGATGGATTCCTTCATGATGCAAGTTCGGCTGCATCTCGATTGCATGCCACGACAGCGATAATTCGTTGCTTGTACCCCTCCCCCTTCCCGCCACCCCAGGGCTGTTCCTGTTTAGGCGTGGGCGCATCTTCCCCCCCTCGTGTCTTCTGTCGTGTCCACGACTGTCCCATGGTGGTGCGTTTGATTCATACACAGATGCCATCATGGGCCCTTTCGCGATGCATGGCCCTGGTCTAAACGGCTGCGGATCGAGAGTGGCTTCAGCCCATGTGCGACGTCCAGCGAGGGATTGGCCAGCGGAGACTTGTCCGTCATGCAGCCTGCTCCGTGTGTGGTCGTGAGGTTGGCCGCCCGACGCCGCTGATCCTTGCGCCTCCACGGCATCTTTTTCCTCTGTCTCGTTTTCTAGGGGGGGGGGGGGAGGGCTAAGGGGGGGACCCGCGTCCTGCCATGATCGGATGAGGCAAGCGTACGACGGTATGGAACTCGACTATACTGTGGTAGTAGTGTCAGTGGTTAGGACGCATGTACGGGTACTAGTCTTTCTCGACATGGTAATAGTAAGCATGCAGCGCAAGGGCTTTGGTTGGTCCCTGTCGGAACATGCCCGTCGCCAGCGCTGTCCTGTACAGGATCCATTCACACCCTTGTCCCATCCTCGTCCATCCTCGCCCATCCTCGTCCCCATCCCTGCCTGCTCACGGCAGAGGCTCGTCACACCGAGCGACTACTCGTTGCCGGTGCGGTTCATCTCCGATCGCATCTGCCTTAGCCCGCTGCTGCTGTTCTTAGCCCTCGTTTCCTCACACGCCATGTCTGCCGCTGTGAGAGAGGCGCTGAAATCCGCATAGCTTTTGGCAGCCTCTACCTTGACCTCCATCACGGGACCTTAGCCACCCTTCTCTCGGCCGACGTTTTCTCTCTGTCTGCGTTACACCTGTCGAACCCTTCTCTTCCACCCCAGCCCGCAAACGCCAGTGCCCCCCCCCTCCCAGAGAAGCAAAAAAAGGTGTCACTTTTGCAAGAGAAGGATATCGCAGGCTTGCCCCCCTCCCATTGACCGTTGCGTCGTTCGCGACGTTGCCGACCCCTCACGGCCAACGTGCCCACGACACTACGTCAGCCACACCACCAACACCACCACCACTAGCAAAGACCCTTGGTCACGACAGCCCTCGGCTCTTAACCTGTACAATCGCTCCCATTGCTACAGAGACCCAGTACGCAGCCATCGAACAGCCGGCTGTCTTTCTTGTCGTCGTCGTCGCCGTCTTGCCCCATTTTAAGCCCTGGTCTTATTCCTTCGCTGGGTATTCCGACGTGCCCGATCGTTCTTGCCGTCTCTCACAGCGTGTTTTGGCCGCGCACTTGGGGAGGAAGGAACGACCTCGATTGCCGTGTCAGACGGAAGTGTACGGGTAGGCATATTGTGTTGTGGGATCCACTTACCGCTGCATCGCATCGTTGCAGTAGTTCGCTGGCGTCCCCAGTGCCAACCATTGCCCTCGTCTTAGCACTACCACCACCACCACCAAGAACCCTACGACGTGAGCATCCGCTTGCACCATTCTTCCAGTCATGGAGTCAGTAGAAGCCAGCAATAGGCATAGGTAGGTTGTTTTGCCCTCGAGTGCATCCCCATGGCACCTTTCTGACCACGCGTGACAATGAATTCAATTGCTGACTGTCCGTCGCAGCATCGGCCTACCCTCCATCAGCCATCTCGAATCAGATAGAGTCAAGCGGGAAGAGATGGATTACCAGCGCAAGCAACACGCAGCGGCTTCTACCATGCCCAGCCCGTTGCATCCTTACTCTGGCCCGTCGCATCTGCACAGCAATCACCAACCCCCACCCGCCACCTCAGCACCCGGCTCGCTTGGAGGCTTGCTGTCCCCCCCCGATTCACGGCGGACGTCTGGAGATGAGCAAGAGTCGCAACGGCCTACCGCCCGCCAGTCTTTACCGTCCATTCATGAGGCCCTAGGATCGGAGCAGCCGCTGCCATATCCCTCCACCGTTCCTCCGCCCTCTGCCCTGGTGTCTGCACCCCAGCACTATCCTCCACCCACCACGACCGCTTCCCCTGCAGATCAACGACCACGACACTTTGCTTCAGATCTGCATGCTAGCCAGGGACCGTCGAATCCTTTTTCACATCCACGGAGCCCATTCCTTGGATCGGGTGCTTCGCAGGCACCGCCGCCACCTCCTGCTGCTCAGCCTCAGAACGACGCTCTGCCACGTCCACCTTTTTCAGATTCACGACCGCCATACCCTACCCCTCAACAGAATCCAAAATTACCCACGCTCCATCCCTTGAAGACCGCACAATCTCCCACACCCAGCACGACTCGACCCAATATCTCGTACCCATCCTATCCCCCACCAGCTGCCCATTACGAGAGCGCGGCTCCTCCACCACCCAGCTCTATGAACCACCACCACCCCTACTCTCAGTATCCTCCCAATTACGCGCACTCGGCAACCTCTGCAAGCGCGCCTAATTCTGCTTATCCGCCGTCGGCTTCGACATACTCTGCTCCACCTCGATACCCACCACCGGCATGGAGAGACAATCATGCAGACATGACTCACATGGAGGAGAAGAAGATCAACCGCTCGAGCTTGGCCCCATATGGAGAGTCTGTTAAGCGTCATCTAGAGAGCTTCGATCTGGAAGCCTCCCTAAACGAGGTAAGCATGTCGATCATGGGGCAGAATAAGACTTCGGCTAACTTTCCCAGATGGCTGATGGTTCGGGACATATTGCCGAGTTCTCCAAGGCATACCGGCAACGTGCACATGAGAATCAGCGAATTGGCATGACACCACAGTCGATGCCGAGGCTGGAAGAGGTGGACGAGATGCTCAAACAGAGCGAGAGGATCCAAATGTCTCTTCAGCGTATGCGAGACGTGGTCTACAACCACCACCACCAAGCAACCATTGTCGAACCACCACAGGATCCCCGTTATCGTCCAATGAATGGTTACGATCATGACAGTGCAAGTAATTACGGTGACGATGGGAAGGGTAACGGCGGCTTCGCCAACGGTGACAGCAAGACGAGGAAGCGTGGTGTAAGTCTGAACGTGCATGTTGATATATTCTCATTTCTAACATCGTTCATAGCGAGCGGCTCCGCCAGGACGATGTCATAGCTGCAACCGTGCGGAAACGCCAGAATGGAGAAGAGGTCCAGATGGTGCGAGGACACTGTGCAATGCGTGTGGTCTACGTAAGTATCATACATGTCCAGTACTCTCAGTAGCCACTAACAGACATGACAGACTACGCAAAGCTAACCCGCAAGATGGGTGGCAAGCAAGCCATGACCAGTTCGAATCTGCGACCCAAGTCACTGGACCAAGGATCACCCGCAATGTAATATGTCTTTTGCCTATCCGAGCTTCTTGTTGTACATGGTTTGGAAACAAAAGTTTTGTTTTTATGCGCGCATCCAAGGGCCATTTTGTTCTCCCCCTACCGTTCGATCCTATATACACACCGAGCATCTCTCTGGGTTACCGACAATCCCAAGCTCCTCGCACATTCTTTTTCACCGGAGCGTCGGCGCACGAACTTGCATTTACAGGATCCATCCTGTCAACCTGGACACGTCTTATCCCGAGACTTGCACCCTCGCCCTGCTCATTTCCTACGATTACGAAACAACGAGAGCAAAATCTGCGCCACCCCATGTTGCTGCTAGCAAACGAAACCATATATACCACGCTTTTTTATCTTCTCGCATGTCTTAGCTTATCACCAAGTCGCATTTGGGCACATAGATTGGGAGTTTTTTTTTCACATTTCACAGATTCCCGAGGGTGGAGGGCGTTTATCATTTGTTGTGCGCATGTGGACTGTCCGTCTTGGCCGTCTTTGAGGGCGGCGCCTGCTTTGGACTCAGTCTTGGTTGTTCGATGGATTGGCTTCGAGGGCACGCTTCCAATGGGATTGTTGTGCTGTGTATACCATAGCAGTCGTATATTGCTTTTCGCCTTTCTTTCCTTTTCGCTTTGCCTGGACCGACCCATGTATCGCGGGTCTAGGCGAGATGGTGTGCAAAGTGTGCAAGTGCGCCAGAGGGACGTCTTGGCCCATTTTTGTATGTATGTGTGTGTTGTGTGTATGTGTGTCTGTGTCTGTGGGTTTTTTGGGGGGTTATTTTTTTCTACACTTCTGATGGGCGTTTGCGAGAGATACCATGGGGCTTTCAGGCTCCCCCGCTTCAGAATCTAAAGATGTATCTGAGCTGATTGTGCAAGTTGGCTGGATGTGTGGGTGTCTTTTTTAGAGGTGGTGAGGGTTGGGGGTGGATCATATATGCGTGTGTGGGTTTTAGTTGGAGGAATGGGGCTCTGGTGTGGGTGTGTGTATTTGACTCTCTCGATGTATGTTCACATGGTTTTTCTCTGTGTGTGTATGTATGTGTGTGTGTCTATTTATCTCCTCCTATTATCCTCCATCCAACCTCCCACTTGACTTGGACTCTTTGAGTATTTAGCAATAGACAGCCAGACAGCCAGACAGACAGACAGCAACAGCAGCAATATCTCCATCCCAATCCAGTGCAAATCTGCACCCTACTCCTCGAGCAGGTAGAATATAACAGACTAGCCTTGGCCTTTGTTTGGTGGCTTTTTGAGGGGGAAATGGGGTGTGGGAATAGGTATGGGGAAATAGTAATGGGGAGTGACGTTGCGGGGCTGGAATGTTTGAGGTGGGGGAGTATTGTGGAGGGAGGGTAGGGGG